ATGAGGTGCTGAACCAGGAGGGAGAAGAGCACATTGTCTTGGCAGGTTTAATGAGTTGGTTTTGTTTATTGCTACCTCTATTATTTCCCTTTGTTCTAATGAAAAATGGGTTAAGCCTGTCTAGAAATCACCCAACCAGCATATAGGCATCCCGGATGAGTTTTAAGAGGAAGAAATGATTTTAGGCAAACTAGTCACTTTCCCTCTGGACTCAATGTTGTCATGGGCCAGAGTAGGTGATCACACTTGTGGTCATTAATAGGCTTTCTTGTTTTACATTTATAGGAGTATCTTCAGGGAAAAACATCTGGAGTTCTGGTTTTGGCATGGTTTGTTGAGGGCTGAAGCAAGAAGAATCAGGTAATGTGTTTGTGAGCCAAGTGAATAAGTCAAGTGAGTCGGGCTAGTAAAAGAGAAGGGAAGGATGGGAAAACCCTTCTGAGAGGATGCCTTGCCATGAGAACCCATCCTCACCTTACCAAGAGGTCTGCAGATACTGACATGGAAGTTAGGAAAATTATGATAGACAAAGGCTGATGCAGGAAAAGAAATAGACATATTCAAACTGCCACATCCACGTTGAAAAAAAATTCATCCTTCATCATGGATGACACAGAGACTTACATCAGCTGCTCTATGTTGCACATTGGGTGTTTCAGTGTCTGACATAGCTGCCCCACTTCCCCACGGGAGAGGTTGGTGCCATATAGGTTCAGGTATTTCAGATGAGGGTTGTGAAGAACAGCCTTAAAGAATTCTACACCATTTCCAAGGCTGGAAGCAAAATTATACCTACAAAAGAGGAGATATTGGAACCCATGCAATGAAGTCTAAGCACAAAGCAAGGTATCTCTTACTGAATTCTTCCTGCTGTGGCTCACAGCAGTTTTTAAGATACCTGGTGACTCTTGCCTATAAATTATTTCTCTCTGGAATTTTCAGGCACAAGACAAACACAGAGGCTCCATGGCTTGCATCTCTCCTGTTTCTTCCTATCCCTCATTTTCTACGTACCATCATTCACGCTATGAGGGAAGGGACTCAAACTCATCCATATTGAATTCTCAGCACCAGGAGGAAAACACACCATGTTTGTGTCTCTGTGCATTCCTAGGCCTAGTACAGTGCACACAGTTGAATAAATGCTCCAAGCAAGATTGTGTTCCTAAGGAAAGAATCCATGTAGAGAAAAGGGAACCCTTGTGCACTGTCAGTGGGATTGCAAATTGTTGCATCCATGATGAAAGACAGTAT